GAGTTGATCGCCACCCTGGGCTGTGGTCTTCGACAACGGCCAATATCGCAATGCGGCGGCTGATTACATGCATTTGATCCCGGGATGGGACCACAAACCTCCCAGTGACTTCCGCACTGCGGCTCGATCACAGATGACCGACTCCTATGATGTTATTCGCATTCTGGAAGATACCAACGTTGCCACGGCCCAGAAGACGGACCAGGGAATCTTTCAGCTCTCAGACGAAGCCGGAAGAACATGGAGTGGGAAGAAGCTGATTCTTGCCACTGGCGTCGAGGATGTCATGCTGGACATTCCTGGGTATGCCGAGCTCTGGGGCAAAGCCATGTAAGTTCTGTCATCGCTGCATCTGCGGTCGTGCGACGAATGCTGACATCGGACTCAGCTTTCATTGTCTGTACTGCAAAGGCTATGAGCAGCGAGGCGCGTCTGCTGGTGTTCTTGCCGTCGGCCCGCTAGGAAACGTTAATACTGCGCTTCACATAGCCCGTCAAGAGACGGCTCTGAGTAAACGGGTCACGCTCTATTGCAACGGCAATGAGACTCTAGCTGCTGAAATTGTGGCGGGCTTCGGGACCGCAACAAACATGAAGACGGATACGCGAAAGGTCAAGGAATTGGTTGCCGGCAGTGGCGGTCAAGGAATTGTGATTCGGTTCGACGATGGATCGGAAGCAGTGGAGGATTATCTTGCTCACCAGCCGCCCACGAGGCCTAGAGGGAATCTGGCTGATCAACTTGGGCTCGAGAAAGCACCCAATGGGGAAGTCAAAGTCTCAAGTCCCTTCCAGCAAGCCAGTCTGCGTGGAGTTTTCGCAGCGGGCGATAACGGCGCCATGCTGAAGAACGTACCAAATGCAGTTTTCAGTGGCCATGTGGCAGGACAAATGGCATCCACCCAGCTTTTGGCCGATTTGAATGGCCAAAAGTCGCTTTTCCCTCTGTAAATCACGCACGTGGTCGAAACGTAGTCACTAGTCAATAAAACAAGTGTTGCAAAAAATGCCCTCTTGAATAAGTTGAAACTTTGCAACCAGATTTTGGATGTAGGCTTAGAATATGACCTAGAAGTAATCATGTTCAGGATTTGATCTCGTCTTGATGGCATCACCACAGCCGCGCAATGTATAACAAGGGACAGTAGCAGCCACTCTCGACAGACCGGAGCCATCGATCAAACCGGTCCCGAATAAGCGCCGAGCCCTGAGAGTGTGCGGGCCGCAATTGATGTGATTTAATTCGTCTTCATCTCGATAAGTAGCGCTGGTAACCTTTTTGCAACACACAGAGCATCCATATCCTCCATCTTAGTCTCACGCTCAAAGTGTGTTTTACAAAGATGGCCGCGAATCCGACGTCCGTTTGTGACCTTATACGCGGTCATGCTCAAGATCAACCTGATTTGTTGGCAGTTTCCAAAAATAAGCAATCGCTAACTTATGCAGAGCTAGAGCATGCGTCACTCTGTATTGCTAGGATACTGACGAACCGCGGCTTGGGCCAAGGCGATATCATTCCTTTGCTTAGCTCACGTTGCCTCGAGATGGTCGCTTGCAGCCTCGCCATCCTCAGGATCGGAGCGACATTAGTACCCATGGAGCATGGTACTTGGAGCAACGACAGGATCGACACAGTATTGTCAAGTTTGGAATATAAAGCCCTGCTCGTCACGACGGAAACAGATCGGTGCCTAGCCAATGCCATCTACATCCACAACATAGATCAAGCACTCACTGGAAGCAACGGATACAAAGAGGAGCCCGCGATTCATGGCAGCTCCGTAAGAAGCAAAGATGTAGCATACATAATTTTTACGTCTGGCACTACCGGTATGCCGAAAGGTGTCATGGTCACGCATGAGAGCCTTTTGAACTATGTTTGGCCGGCGCACGCCAATGCACCCTTCAATCTAGGTGCAAAGCCATCAGACACCAGTTTGCTGCTGTTTTCGGTAGCCTTTGATGGTAAGTCTTTTGCCCACTCACTCGTGAAATACCACTTTTTATCAGTCCTGAACTGACTTGAGAGTTCCCGAAAAGCGTTCTACGGAGTCTTGTTCAGTACCTTGTGCAATGGGGGACATGTCTTGCTGTCGGAACCCGCCACCTTCATGGACGATGCGAAAAGTTGCACGCTTCTCCCAGCTACACCAACACTGCTCAGCACTCTAGCAGATGTAGCGCCTTATAGCAAGGTTCGCGGCATCTTCCTCGGCGGGGAGGCTCCAACGCTGGAATTGATCAGGAAGTGGTGGACGCCATGCCGCAGCATGTGGAATGCTTATGGCCCGACAGAAGCGACGATATCCATCACAATGGCAGAACTACGCCCGGACATGCCCATCACTCTGGGGAAACAAATTCGTAACAGCGAGTTGCTTTTGCTCAACTCTGATCTTGAAGAATCTATAGAAGGAGAATTGTGCATCATGGGCTCGAGTGTTTTGGCCCTCGGCTATTATAAGAATCCGGAGCAGACAAACGAGAAATTCGTCACATGGAGCGATCGACGGCTTTATCGCACCGGAGACATGGCAAAGCAGACTCAACATGGTCTCATTTTTCTTGGTCGCAAGGACCAAATGGTCAAGAATCGCGGGTTTCTCATCAACCTGGAGGCGGAGGTTCTGCCTGCGCTCTTGTCGCAAGAAAATGTCCATTCTGCAACGGCAATGATGTATCGCCAAAGACTAATCGCTTTCGTGACACCCGCCAGAGTAGACGGGGAGAGTCTGCGTCGCAATCTTTCTTCGCAAATCGACCAGTTTCTTGTCCCAGACGAAATACACAGTAGGGAACGCCTCCCTCAGACAATAAACGGCAAGATCGATAATAAAGCTTTGTATCAGCATTTGGTAAAGAGAGACATCGGAAATGATGGACCTGGAGACCAGGCATGCGAGACAAACTTCGACTTGCTCAAGCTGGCCATTGCAGACGCTCTCGGCATACCGGCCCGCGTAGTCAGAAATGACCTTTCGTTTACTGACTTGGGTGGTAACTCCCTGCTGGCAATCAAGCTACTTTCAATTCTCAGACAAAAGGGTCTGTCCCTATCTATTCCATCTCTTTTTTTGATGCCAACCATATCGGAAGTTTCGAGCAGTCTCGTTGAACTCGAGATGCCCAAGTCCGAACTCAATGGTACTGGGCAACCTGAACGGACAAACGAACTTGTGGGCACTCTCTCGAAAAACCATGCCTTCATGACAGATGTTCAAAAAGGGATGGTACGATCAACGCTCAATGATCCTCCCGCAGGATATATGGTCATCACAATTTCTCTTCACCAATCGGCTGGTAACATCCAGACCCAATGCCTCAGCGACGCGGTGCACCATGCACTTCAGCGACACGACATATTCGCTTCTTCTTTTGACATGGCAATGGGCACCATCATCAGAACTGCAAATTATAAGCATGACTGGGCCGTCGAGAATGTTGGTTCTTTGAGGGTGAAGGACGTCTTGTCGGAGGAGACTCAGCAGCTTTTTGAGCGAACAAAAGCCAGCGATACATTACAGGAATTATTCACGCCCACCAACGCTTTCAAGCTCATACTAGGAGAGCATGAAGACTCTGTTCTTCTTTGGCTGGTACACCACGCTCTTGTTGACGGATGGTCAACAGCAAATATTCTAAAGGACATTCGATCACGGCTCCTGGCTGGAACCAATGTTGTTTCGGACCGACCACGGCAATTCTGCGACTATTCTGCCGATCTAACTTTGCATTTGGAGCGGTCTTATACGAGCGCAAAGTGTTTCTGGACGCAGTCCATGGCGGGCCACCTCGATGGGACTGAGCTCAAAGTTGCGCGGCCTGAAGGCACCGAATGCGAGAAGGAACATTTTGAGAATCGTCGATTAAGCCTCGGTATTTCTTTGGCTCAAATCGAGGTAATGGCCAAGGCACTTGGATTCAGCCCTGCAGTTATTCTGCATGCAGCCTGGGCATTGCTGTTGAGCCGATACGCATGTGAAGAAGCAGTTGTCTTCGGAGGTGTCTTTTCAGCAAGGAACTTCCCCATCTCAGGTGTCGAGGAAATCGTCGGCCCTTTGATCAATACATGCCCTTTTCCGGTCAGAATACAGACGTCGGACAAGAAGACAGACTTCCTCAGCAATATCCAATCACTGCTACTACAGATCGTCGAGTACCAATGGTCTGCTTCTCAAATTCTGCAAGAGATTGCCTCGGGGAGCCTTGCGCGTATTTTTTCCACGGCATTGTTTCTAGAGTATGATTTGCCAATGCACGAGAGCTCCGACCAACAAGAGCTGCCATCGTGGACTTATGATCGGGCTGACTGGCCCGAGTTTGGCCTTACAATGCAGGTGAAAGATGCTGGGGACTCTTTGGAACTTCGGGCAGTGTTTAAAAGATCTCGATACAAATCGGAGACTATTTCCAGACTCGTTGAACACTTCAAGAATCTCTGCTTGTCTTTGCTGAGCCCAACTACGAATACACTAGCGGAAGTGAGTGACAGGATGCTCGGCCTGAAGGAGACTTTGTGTTTGACGCGTAGTTCAACCTCTTTTTTCACACCATACTCTGGACATCAAACATTGAAGGCCGCATTCGAGGCTGGGGTTGATACTTGGCCACAGTCGGTTGCGATCAAGTCACCGCTGCGCGAGATCACCTACAGAGAGTTGGATCTTACGTCAAATTACTTGGCAAGGTCCATAGCAGAGATTGTCCGCCCGCGAGAGGTGGTGGCTCTTTTGGGTGATGGCAGCGAGAACTGGCTTCTTGGAGTCTTGTCGATCATCAAAGCTGGCGGAACCTACTTGCCTCTCGATACCAAACTACCTCCACAGCGGATGGAGGCCATGATGGAAACAGCCGGTGCAGTGTTGTGCATCTATCCTAATCAAGAGTGCTTTGCTACCTTTTCCTGCCTTTCCAAGGCTAAATATCTGCTCCATGAACGTCTGAAGACGAAACAAGATGGCAGTAGTCTGACAAAAAGATTGGGAATCTCTACACAGCCTGACGACTATGCTTACATCATGTTCACGTCTGGGTCGACGGGCACACCGAAAGGCATCAGGGTAACTCACCACGCGACAATGTCGCATCTCTCATTCGAACCAGCACGTCTACATGCCCGTCCCGGAAGACTGCATGCACAGATTTTCTCTGCCGGATTCGATGTCAATATTGCAGAAATCTTTGGCACGCTGTGCTATGGAGCGACATTAGTCCTCAAAGACCCTGCTGACCCATTCGCGCACCTCAGTCAGGTCCATGCGACGATGATTACGCCCTCGTTCCTCTCGGTACTCTCCTCAAAAGATCTCCCGAACCTTGATACAATATACTTGATAGGAGAAGCTGTTCCCCAGAACCTCGCCGACAAATGGTCAACCGGAAGGACTCTCTACAATTTTTACGGGCCGTGTGAATGCACAATCGCTGCTTCATACGCCAGACTCGAGCCCGGAAGGCCAGTGACACTGGGTAGAACGATTCCCCGGGTTGGTGCTCACGTACTTGATCGCCTTTCCCGACAAGTGCCTGTCGGCGTCATTGGAGAGATCTGCCTCTATGGAGTGCAAGTCATGGAGGGGTATATCGGCAAAGATGCGGAAGAGATGACCAAGAGAGCCTTTGTTCAAGATCCGTTCAACCATGGCCAGCGCATGTACAGAACTGGGGACCTGGGTTATTGGACCGAGAATATGGAGTTATGCTTCATCGGCCGAGTTGACCATCAGGTCAAGGTTCGAGGATATCGAGTCGAGTTGCAAGAGATCGAAAACGCACTGCGACGATCGAGCGATACAGTGACCCAGTCAGTGGCGATTGTGTCCGAAAACACCATCTATGCCTTTATAACACCGGAAAGCGAAAACGTAGCCGAGATCAACAATTTCTTGCGTCGAGAACTGCCAAGCTACGCCGTTCCGCAGCTCATAACCGCACTGCCGTCGTTTCCG